CCCACCCCCAGCTCCAGGTTTCCAAATCCGGGCTGCCTGGTACCGGAGCTGCTCCGGGAACCTCCACGCGTGCTTTTCCGGTTGAAATGCGCTGCCCCCAAGAGCGCTCCTCACCGAACCCGTCAGTTCCTGCCGCTGCGCGCGGGAGGGGGTCAGCCTATCAGGCCCGGCTGGAAGGAGACCCCACCCCTCCTATCCTCACCTGCTTCCTTCCTGACCTCAACCCTACCCCATACGGTCCCAGGAACACGGGGGCACTTTGTGACAACCCCCTTCCTAACGCATTGGGCCATCTAGTTCCCTCCCTTTGAAGCAGACGAGTTAATTACAGCCAGACTAGGCCCCCTCCTCCTCCTTCACACTCCTGTGAAGCCCTCCCTTCCCCCGTAAAATAATACTTGTTCTGTCTACTTCTGGTGGAAGGCAGTGTTTTGATTAAATCTGAGGCCCGGTGGGAGAGCTTCTTCCTTCTCAGCGCTGGTCCGTGTCTGTTGTTCTCCCCACCTTCTTCCCCCAAAGATAAACCTTTGCCCAGGCCTGGGCTGGGGGAGACAGATTAAGAGTCTGAGTTCCTTTTAGGACTGGACGTCCAGACAGCAGTGAGGCAGGCTCTTACCTGCCAGCTGGTGCTTGGAAAGGGATCTTATTTGTTTGCCAGGAGAGAGGAGGAAGGGAATGTCCCTCCTCTAGTTTTTCTGCCTGGCCTCCTCTCCCCGAGGTCCCCGGAATATCCCATCCCCTGCTTGATCTGCATGGGCAGTCCGTGGAGGATCCCACCTCTCCCTGGAGGCAGTTTGGGGCACGCCTCGGAAGCTTGGACTCTGGGTTTCCTAAGCACCCAGGATGCCACACCTAGATGACAACTAGCTGGGAGCCAGGTGGCCACCCAGGAGCTGCCTTGGGAGAGGGGGTAGATTTCCCTGGGAGCCACCAGGACCCTGGGCTTGTGGTTGATCAGTGAGGGAAACACCAGATAGGCTCCGTGCAGTCTTATGCATGGCCCAGGCTTGGCTTGGTGCAGGCACTGGGGAGGTCTTGAATATAAAAGAAGGCACAATAGGGTCACGGCCAACTGCACCGGACTTTATGCATCCTCCTTGTTACCCTGCAGCCACGCCCCAGATGGGCAGATCTCCTTTCTCTTTCACTGCTAGTGGTTCAAAACTTCAGTAAATATTTTTTTCCCAGTTACAATTAAGACTGTTTCAAACACTGAGAAATGATTTGTTTTATAGCCAGGTTGTCAAAATGTTTAAGACTTGACTTCTTTTCATCACCAGATATTTCTTATGGGTCTTCTCTGTGCCCTCCCCTGCTGGGTGCTGGAGCAGAGACCCTCTGCAGTGAATGCTATGACAGAGGCCATAGTGGCATGATGGTGATGAGTGCTATGATGAGACCTTGTGTTACAGGGTTACAGGAAGGATGAAGGGCACGGGAGAGGTTGGGGGGTGTGGCATCGAGGAGTGCACCTTGGAGGCAGGGCCGTTATTGTGAGGGGGGCAGTGGTCACCATGATTGGCTGGAGAATTGCCCTGTGCTTCAGGGAACTGCAGGTGAAGTCCCATGTGACTGAAATTGAGAGGTTAAGATAAGTTGGGCAGGGCCTGGATCAGGGAGGACCTTGTAAGCTAAGCACAGAGGGGGCCTGTGAAGGGATTTAGCTGTGAGAGTGTTGTGATCAGATATGATTTTTTAGAAGATCTCTCTGGGCTGCTTTTCACCTACTAGGTTGTGACTGTAAGACCTTTGATCTTTTGAGAAGTTGTCCAGATGTTCTTTCTACCCAGGAGGGAGGAGGCAGCCAGAGAGGGTCAGCAGAACGTTCTAGTGCAGTGATCCTCAAACTTTGGTGTGCCTAGAGGGCTGGTTACAACAGATTGCTGGGGTCCATCCTGCAGCAACTAATTGAGCATGCCTGGTGGGGGACCTGAGTATTTGCATTCCAGCATTTCCCAGGTTGAGGGGAAGTGGCTGAGGGTCCTGGGACCATGCTTTGAAAACCACTCATGCAACAGTGGCTTCTTCTTAACTGTCCGTCTGGGTCTTCTGGTCAGGGCAGCCTTGGAATGCAGAGACTCTGGATGCCCTTGTTTCTGCCATCTGTGTGTGGCTACCTCCTGATCCTTGGCCAGCACCCCTCCACCCCCACCCCATCAGGCAGTCAGGAAGCAGTTGTTTTCACATTATTTCCAGTCAGACAGCTTTTGGGAGGCCAGGCACACTGTAGATCCAGCCTTCCTTCTGCCCCTCACTCATGGATCCAGGAAAACCCACTTCTGGCTCCTCATTTAGTCTTTGTCCATTGTTAGAGGTCTCACCCTCTCACCTAGGCTGGAGTGCAGTGGCGCAGCTATGGCTCACTGCAGCCTCAACCTCCCAGGCTCAAACAATCCTCCCACCTTAGCCTCCTGAGTCACTGGGGCCACGTACTGTCACACCTGGCTAATTTTTTTATGTGTAGAGATCAGGTGTCGCTATATTGCCCAGGCTCCTGGGCTCAAGTGATCCTCCTGCCTTGGCCTCCCAAAGTGCTGGGATTACAAGTGAGAGCCACAGCACCCCACCCACTTTTCCGTTTGTAATTATTTGGAAGAAAAACTAGCCTTACTCTAATGGTTTCTCCCCTAACATAGCCCGTTTTTCCCAGCGTTTACTTTGTGCTCAGAGATGTCTTGGTATAAGTGTGAGGAGGGGAGGTAATGAAGGATGCAGGAGATTTGTCCATATCTCTGGCCTGAGCCCCTGGAGGAGATTGACAGGAATTTCATCCTTTGTTTCCCAGTGTTTTTATCTTGGAGAATTTGGGGAGATCATCACCTAGGAGGTGGCTTTGAGCTGGATCTAGAGTTGGAAGTGGAATCCCAGCGCAGGGGAGAGGGTGACTGCAGGCTGCAGGAGTGTTTATGTGTCCGGGTGTGCATATGTAAGTGTATACATGTGTGTGAACATAGACGTGTGCATGTACGTGTGTGTATGTGTATAAAATCTCAACATGGGGCCTGTTCTCGGAAAGCAGCATTTTCATGCAGCTGGGCCTTGTTTGGGGAATGAGAGATGACAATGTGAGAGAGGTAAGGGCTTGAAGTTAGACCCCACAGGGGAGACCTTGAAGGTTGTTGAGCCAGGGAAGGGTTGTACTCAGAGCCATGGTGAAGGGGCATCCAGGCTATAAACAGCTGCCAAAATCTGGGGATCGAAGTTAGGGCACAGTTGTAGTTCTGGTGAGAGACGGTAAGGGCCTGAGCTCCTGGGAAGAGAAAATGAAACTGGAATAGGTAGACACATTATTCCTTCAAGTTGTGCTTTATTAGAAAAAAAAAAACAATGATTACAAAAGAGGCCAGTTACTTTGGTAGGTCTCCTTTTGTGCAGCCAAACAGGTCTTATCCAGTTATATTTTCTGCTGTAGTCTTGTTTCTTTTATTATAATTAAATAAATGTTGTTTCCACCACAATTAAGTCAGGATGCATCATGACATCAGTTTTCCCGGGTTTTAAATACATACTGATGTGTACCAACACTTTATATTTTGTCAGCATCCAGAGTTGAGTTAAATAACACTTTTTCCATAGTTACAGAATAAATAATATCATGTCTAACTTCTTTTTTTTTTTTTTTTAACATCCAGCAAACAGTTTCTAAACTGCCTGCTAGGCAGTGGGAGTTCAGAGAGAAATAAGTGGTGGCTAACTTTCCAAGAAGGAAGCTTCTCAGTTTGCAGTTGAATACCAGCTTCTCCTGGTCTAGTCAGGGAGACAGATACAACCAGAGAGACAATATCACAACCTGAGGAATGCCAGAAGTGTGTACAGAGGGCTAGGAGGGCCTGAACTTGCCTGGGAAGCCAAAGAGGGCCTTCAGGAGAAGATCGCCCTTGAGCTGAGCGTAGAAGGCTGAGTGGGAATTCCCGAAGCAGGGGAGTGGGGAAGAGGGCTTTTCATGCAAAGGGAATAAAGCAGCCAGTGCCATGGCCTGGAGGCTGGAGAGGATGGCTGGGGGCAGCAGGGCAGGTGTGGCGGGAGACTGCAGAGGGACGTTGGAGCCCACAAAGGGAAGAAAGTCTCATGTGCCTTGCTGCATAGTTGTGAATTATCATTTGTCCTGTTTCACATACAATCATCGATGTAGGGCTTGATTGAAGCCAGGGTCAAACATGAGTTGTCAGTCATTCCCATTTGATGAACAGCCACATTCTCCAGTTCTTAAA